TTAGTATAATACAATAACTGGTATCTGCAGGCAAAAATCCATATACTCATAGATATATATTGGGAGATGGGGTCCCCGATGGTATTGGAAACCTCACAGTTTCTTTACTCATTCTTTGATATCTTCTGATGTAGAATATTGTGAATCATAGTGTGTACTCTAAAAAAGCATAACAATAAAAATGCTTTTGGGGAAAATATCTTTGAAATCGATACACTTTCAAGCTGTGCTTTCTTTCTTGTATACTTCTTGACATGTGGTGCCTTTCATTTTAACCTTGGCTGTCTACTCATCACTATTTACTATAGAAACTAAAGTAATATTTTGCAGGCTTACAATTATAATTTTCACTTGAATTTTCCTTAAAATATATTTTATTTTGCATTACAACACTTAGACATTCTCTGTGGAACTATCTTTAGTAAATTTTATGAAATGTATTTATTTCATTTTTATTTTTATTTGTGTATTTTTTTGGTTATACAATGATTCCATCATTATTGTAAAAAATGGCACAATTTGTTTCCCTACTTTTGATCTCTACCAGCACCAAAAATAAATAAACAGCATAATACATGTCTAATGAAGTTAATTTAAAATGATATTTAGGGAGCCGGGGATTTAGCTAAGCGGTCCAGGGGCCTGCCTCGCAAGCGCAAGGACCCGAGTTTGACCCCTGGTACCACAAATAAGTAAGTAAGTAAGTAAGTAAATAAATAAATAAATAAATAAATAAATAAATAAATAAATAAAATGATATTTAGGGCCAGGGATTTAGCTCAGTAGTTCTGCTGCCTACCTCACAAGTGCAAGGACCCATGTTCGATCCCTGGTACAAAAAAAAATGTAATTTTTATACAATATGGTATATTCATTTAATTTTTGAATTATATACTTCACTTGGTAATTAAATACAGTTGCATTTATTCAATTAATATGCTATCATTAATTAATCGATATACATTCAGCTGTGTTTAGCTAGGAGATTAAGATATGACTAACAGTATATTCAAAGGGTCTACAATACTGTGCAGATGGAACAAAAGTGAGGAAATTCTCTATATTTGTCATAAGATATGTCATACATATATTGTTAGTTTGGAAAAAATGATAAAGAAAAATACTGAAAATAGAAGAAGGAAGCATCAAAATGTGTGTATATATGGGCAGGGGTATGGGGAAAAAATGAGAATCAAGACCTGTCATGTAAAGGTACAAGTTTCAAATGATAAATGTAATTATTGTATACAAAAAGTACCAATAAATTCAATGAGAAAAAAATGTTTGGTTAAAATATAAAGACTAACTAAAAGTAATTAAAGATGAAGGGACTACCATCAAAATTTCAGTATCTAACATTTTATTTCACTTTATCTTGAAGCTGTGACAGTGATGTACTTTAAAAGAACAGAACAATCTTATTTGTTTAGTGAAAGAAAATTATGAAATACAAAAATTCAGTTATTATTTTCTTTTTCTCTGTTTTTATACTTACTATCAACTGAAGGAAAAACTAATTTGATTACCTTGTTGACTCCTCTTATGATCGGGTTTATGGACAATAGAATGTCCTATAATCCCATTACCTGGGAGGTTGAGGCAGGAGGGTTGCCATGAGTACCCGACCACGTTGGCTACATAATGAGTTCAAGTTCAGCCTGAAATGCATAGTGAGACACTACAAATAAATTAATGAATCAATAAGAATAGATAATGCTAACTGAATCTTTTCCTTAATTTCCTTTTTTAAACCAACATACTGGCAAACATTTACGATCTTCTAATCTGATAGTATCAAACAAAACTTACTGTTCTCAGATGTGTTTGATTTTAACACTCAATATGCAATGTAATCATATATATCACTGCCTTACTCTTTTCAAATATTAGTATTTAATAGGGGAAAATGCTTCTGCACTTGTTACCACAGTTTTAATCAAGTACGGATATTGATTCAATGTGAATATTAATCAAGTTTTGTAGCCTTTATGGATACACTACATTCTGTAGAGTAGAGAAAACTCAACTATTTAAAGAGAATTAACCATATGTGCTTAGTTTGTTATAACAATTTAGCTAGGCTTTTGTTCAAAATAAAATTAAACAATTAACTACTTTTCTTCATGTTATCATTTTATACTTTGTATGTGTTGTTCTAGTTGCCTCTGAGTTTCACAGAAGTATTCTTTATAAATGTTAGTTTGTATTTCTGTACTCTGACACCAAAGCCAGAGAAGGATCTAACCAAAAAAAGAGAACTATAGGCCAATTTCCCTAATGAACATAGAAAAATTCTCAATAAGATACTGACAAACAGAATGCAGCAAATCATCAATTAGGTTACACACGATGACCACGTAGAATTCATCCCAGGGATGCAAGGATGGTTCAGATCAAAGAGAATATCAGAAATGGAAAGATATATTGAAAAATGGAAGCAAAGTGTTTGTAAATAGGGAAGGGTAGAGGGGGTGAAGGGAGGGCAGGGGAATGGGGAAAACATAAGAGCCAAGATACATCGTGTGAAGGTACAAGATCCCAATGATGAATGTAACTGTACTGTATATCTAAAAAGTACTAATAAACTTAGTGAAAAAAATTGAATAAAAAAATGAACATATTTCCAAAATTGGTATACTGATTTAATTCAATCCCAATCAAAATTCCAATAGTATGTCTCATAGAATTAGAGAAAACAATCCTAAAATTTATTTGGAACCAGAAGAGACCTGGAATAGCAAAGACAATTCTGGGCAGCAAAGGCAAGGCCAGGACATCACAATTCCTGACTTGAAATGATACTACAAAGCTACTGTGATAAACACTGCATGGTACTGGCAAAAATGGAGAACAGGGGATCAGTCAAACAGATTAGAAGATGCAGAAACACCTGCAGATATACTCAATCACTTTATTCTTGCCAAATAAACTAGACCCACATCTTTCACCATGCACTAAATATAATTGAAATGTATCAAAGATCTAAAGAAAACCAGAAACACTTAATATGCTGAAAAATAGAATAAGTAGTACTCTTGAAAACATCAGTGTAGAAAAAGATTTTATGAACAAAACATCAGTCACACAGGAACTATCACAAAGAATCAACAACTGGGATCTCATCTTATTAAAAAGCTTTTTCACAGCAAGAAAAACCACCACAGAGTGACCCACAGTTTGGGAAAAAAAAATGTTGCCAACTATTCCACAGAAAAAGGATCAATACCTAGAACATATAAAGAATTTCAAAACTCAGATACCCCATATTTAAAGACCTTGTCCAAAAATGAAATATCTGAAATTAAAAGTTGTTTCTCAGCGCTGGGGATTTAGCTCAGTGGTTCTGCCACTTGCCTCGCAAGTGCAAGGACCCAAGTTCTATCCCCAGCACAAAAATAAATAAATAAATAAATAAATAAGTAATTTCTCAGGTGAAGAAGTAGAAACAACAAATAAATACATGAAGAAATGTTCAAAATCACTGGATATTTGAAAGATGCAAGATTCCATTAAACTCCAGAAAGATCTTTAATGCCTACACAGTTTATTTTATGATCAAGTATAAAGACTAGATGAACTTTTTCTTTTTTCTTTTTTTTTTTTTTGCTACCAGGGATTGAACTTGGTTCTTGCATTTGCAAGGCAGCAGGCACCAGAACCACTGAGCTAAATCCCCGGCCCCTATATGCACTTTTCAGCTAGGAGTATCACCAGAACAAGGACTACAGCCCTTGCTTCTCAATTTGGAAATGTTCCTGCTTGCAAACACTTAAATGTAAAAGTACTTTAGGTTAGAGTTCATTTTTATTGTAATTCTCTAACATGAGATGGAAAACTAGGTGCAAAAAGTCAAATGACAGGGCCTTTAAAATTAAGAGTTAGTATCTAAAGTCCATCCTTTGAAATAGTAGTAATTATCATGTTATTTTAGAAACAGCATGTGAGATCATGCTCTTTATATCTGAATCAGTAAAAGCAGAACCAAGTTTGTTGTGATTAATTACTAAGATACGTATCAGGACTTCTTCCTACCATCGGAATAAAACACCAATGCTGACTTCAGTGCTATTGTAAAGATATTTAATTGTAATAACTTATAAGTGCTTGCCTGATTATGTTTTTTAGGATACATAAAAAACAAATCTATTAAAAATCTTAATTGTAGGAATATTAGTTTCTCATGTTCAATTTAAAATCATGAAAATGTGCTTTGAGGGTAATTTATGCTTTACATTGAAATTTTGTTTTTGTCATGGATGTTAGTGACTGGTTTATTGCAAACAGTGCATTTCATAGCATTTCTAGAATGTTGAAAATGTGCAGCATATGCACTTTTTTCTTCAATATAATTAGTTAGAAATTGGGAAAGCTTTATTTTAAAATTATTTGTGAAAATCTATTTTCAGACTCTGGCTTAAACAGTTCATAAAATGTTTTAGTTGTTTTAAGAAATTATGTGTAGTTAATCAGAAAGAACATCAAAGTTTGACACCTAATTTGAAAGCCCTGTCTTGAAGCAGTGAGTGATTGCTAATGGCATCACATATAGCAATAAGAACCGAAATGGGAAGTCCATTCATGCCCAGCGTAGATCTCAACATGGATTAAGCCATGGTGGTATTCTTTTTATGCAAGACATATTTCATAAAAGTATATATGTCTGCAAAAATGTATAGTTCAGATCAGTGGAATAGATTAAGACAGTATAATAACATCACAATGGATTCTTCTAACTACTATACATAAGAGGCTATATCAGTGACACTAAAGATATTTATAATGAAACTAGAAATGACTATCAAGTTATGAATCTTACTGCAATAAAAGGGATAAAAATGAGGTCTCAAAATGGTGTTGCTGAGAGCATTTTCTCCTCTATTTGTATTCCTGCCTGGGATTTGGCTCAGTGGTTCTGCTGCCTGCCTCGAAAGTGCAAGAGTTTGATCCCCAATACCAAAAAACAAAAAACACACACAAAAAATCTGTTTATTTTCCTCCAGTGCCACCAGCAATCGCAATGCCTCAAAGGTCCTTCAATGCCACAGCTGAGAGAGGAGAAGATATGACTCTGTCGTGCAGGGCCTCTGGTTCTCCTGAGCCCACCATCTTCTGGTCCAGGTAAGTGAAACAGCCACAGCCCTGTGCCTTTTGCCTGTAATCGGGAGTGATGTGATTTCTTAATCATTTTGTCAAGAAACAAATCATTGCTTAAAGTTTCATGGAAAAACATGGTGCTCTTGTTTTCAGTTAAGTTGGTTCCATTAACTAACTAAAGAGATCCACACTGTGATCTTGTTATCCTTTTCTTAGTGGAAGGGTAGATGAATAGCCCCTAATCTCTTTTAAAGATGTCTCTTGCCAAAATGGGCCCAGGATCCCTGTGTGTGTTTCAACCATGTTATTGCTAATGCTACATTGTGTCTTCCAACTAAAATACTAGAGTTGACATCAGTATTGTGTGTATATGAACTCGTTTTATTAGAATATAATTAAGTGCATATTCAATTCACATACTGTATTTCACAAAAAAGCTAATTATGTAGACTAAAATGTCAAGGATTTAATTTGTCACTTTTCAGAAGTTCACCTTATCAAATGAGTACACTTTGTGTTCTGCATCTATCTTTCGAGAGTTCACTTATATTTTTTTGTTTCAGAATTTTAAAATGCTCTTCGCTTTCCATTAACATTAATCATGCATTAATTAAAATATTCAATACTTTTACACTGTGGCTCAAAGACCTATGTTGAAGATGATAAAGTTTAAAACTGGACAATCTTGTACATATGCTTCAGAAATGCAGTTTAGTATATGAGATACAAATATTTATATAATCAGTTATGTGTAGATATTCCTCATTTAGCTACCAAGATCCATTCCTGCAACTATGTCCTTAGATGAATTGGTTGCTAAATGAGGATTGTGTGTAGCATGTGCATTACAGTATTCAGAACAAAGAAAATGATCAAAGAAAATTCCAGCTTGATGACTTTGGTTTTATTTGTATGATTTTTCCCTGCAGTACCGTAATGTATATCAGAACATAAAAGTACTGTACTGTACAGTACAGTCAGCGAAACTGCCATGCTGTATAAACAAGAGGCACTGTACAAAAATAACATCGAGGCTCGATAGTCTAGGTATACAGAACTGTATAAAAAGAAGATGGGTCATAAATCTGAGTGGCAGTTTGTAAGTCTGAATAACGTGCCTCCATTATAACAGTCATTAAATGTGTAGGTCATTAAATGAGTAATAGCTGTACTTCAAAAATCATAAAGTGCAAGAAAAATCCCAACAAAACTTTTATTAAGATACATATTCAGATGCACAAAGGTGCTGTAATAAATATTAGGCTTTTAAAAATACTTTAAGGATCATCAATCTAAAACAGTTTTTATTACTTTCTGAATGTTTGCTGATATCATCAATTTTGAAATCTTGAAATCTTTATCTTCTTTATCCATTTAGTATATCAGGTAGCAATAAATAAAATATATCTACAAGCAGTGATTGCAGTTGTTCCTTCCAGGTGTTATTGTTTTGATATTTAATGAGATTACATATTAAACATTAACATGAGTTCAGATAATCATCAGATATCTGAGAGACCCCCGGTTCAATTGGATAGATCCTTAACAATCAATATCAGATCTAATCGGGTACAGAATACTTTTATAATTACTTTTTTAGGTCTTTTTTCATCCCCCCTCCTTTCACCTTTTGGCTTCCTTCCCATTTGCAAAAGATCGGAAAGTAAGGAGACAGACCTTTTGATAAAGTTAGATTTAAAAGAAAATTTTTATTTTGTCCTCTTTAATCTCTATGTGTAGACATTCCATGTTTGTGGGAGAAGACAAAGTCCCTAGAAGTATTAGAGAATGTAGGTCAGTAGCCCTAAAAGAAAGATCCAGAGTACCCATTGCACAGAGTTATCTCCCAGTGATGTGAACGAAGCACATCGTTTGGTAACCTTAGGTTGCTGTAACAAAATATGACAGACTGGGTAGCTTGAACAACAGAAATATATTTTCCCACAATTCTGGAGTTGGTCATCATACATCACGGGGCCAACAGGGTCTCTCTTTTCTGTTTGCAGATGCCCATCTTCTCACTTTTTCCTCACCTGCCTTGCCTCTGTATGCCAGCCCTGACAACGGAATTTCCTCTGTCTCTTCCTGTTCTTTTAGTAACACCAGACCCATCAGAGGAAGGCCGCCCCATGTCTTTTCTTTAATCCTTCATCTCCTCTTTAAAGCTTCTCTCTTCAGATGTAGTCTGTTTGATGGTTAGAGATTCAAAGTTGGAATTCCACCAATTTGGGACATAACCCCAGTAAAAAAGAAGATAGTTTAAAGGACACACACACAGACACACATAGGAAAATCAAGTGAGCAATACAAATTTTTCACAATGTGAATCAGAAAAATCCAGTGATATGTAAATCAATGTGAAAATAAAAGTAGTCACTCAAACATCCCCCTATTATTCCTTTCCATTAATATATATAGTGAATATATATATATATAT